TGGGGCCCTTGTGCTAGAGAAAAGTCTCTGAAACAATGGGATCTCCATTATCTAAATATTTCAAGACTGTTCCGTCTCTAGAAACGCCTGTGAAAATCATGTTTAAGAGCCATGGTCACTCTTCATATTTAACTAAATAAGCAGATCTGACCAAAAGTAATTCAGAACAGCAATGGGCACCATAGGGAATCTTTGAAATTCCAAAACTTACTTTTCTTAAAACCCTATTGGATAATAGTATCACTAAAACTAGCAAAGATGAAGGGAATGCCTATTTTCAGTGGTATTTTGAGGCTTCCAAATGGTACCAAGAATCTGAAGTTGGCCAAAACTGGTTTGGCTCAATGGATAGAGTGTTGGCCTGCGGACTGAAAGGTCCCAGGTTTGATTCCGGTCAAGGGCAACCTGGGTTGCAAGAGGCAGCTGATCGATGATTCTCTCTCATCAATGTTTCTAACTCTCTCTCCCTCTCTCTTCCTCTCTGTGAAAAATCAATAAAATATATTTTTTTAAAAAGAATCTGAAGTTGCCTCTTTACAAAGTAAACTTTCAGAATTAATTGGAGCTACTGACTTTTAAAGAGAGAAAGGATGGTTTCTGAAGCCTAATGATCTTCACTTCCAGTGCTGTCTTGCCCTTCCCCTCGACTCCTTTTTTTTTTTTTTTTTTTTTTTTCCAAGCTTTACCTCTAAAGCCAGCCATCTGGCTTTCCACTGTCTGGCTTCCTAGCCTTGCCTCTGATGCGATCTTCCTCTGAACTTTCTCTCCCTTCCTCCTCCTCTAAATATCAGTATCTGTCTCCTTAAGGTTAAGCTCTCTGAGGATCCTAATACACCTCATGTCCCCTGGACTAAGGCTGAGTTATAAGCCATGGTTAAAGAATCCCCTAAGGAACTAAGGGTCCTCACAGATTTGCTGAAGAGTTTGATAGCATTTTTCAGGCCTATCACCCTGGGTTTTCTGATTTATAGCAGAGATCTCTGGCGACTCTATAGCTGAATCTGGGAGCGCTGATCAATTACCTTTACTGAGTCAAACTGCTATCCTCTTTATGGACAAAATCTTGAAGTGATAGTGGCAAGATCCACTGTGCACCACCACCTCCTATCAAAATTCAAACAGATTCTTCAAAACCCCTTCCCAATCCATATCCCATTAAGTAAAAAGGCTCTTCAAGGTATAAAGCCCATAACAGATTAGCTCAGTCCCTGGAACACTCTCATTTTACCTGTGAGAAAGCCAAAAGGAAGGCTTGTTTCCCAGCAATACACCATATTGTTATCCCTCAAAACCCTGCTGTTCCGAACCCTCATCAACTACTAACATCCACCCAACTGGAGGCAACTTCTTTCCTGTAACTGATCTGTGCAGTGTGCGTTCTAGCTGGTCCGTACCTTTTTGCCTTCACTTGGGAAGGAAACAGTTCACTGGGACAGTAATGCCCTGGGGCCTTACTGAAAGCCCTTCTTGCTCACAGGCTCGGAAGGTCGTTTGGGATGATGTAATTGCCCCGAATGGTTCTACAGTACTTTGTTGCACTATGTGGACACCTTGCTTCTTTGCTCTTCAAGTTCTCCTCACAGGAAGACAGCCTGCGCCCATTAGAACTTTTGGCTTTCAAGGGGCATAAAACCTCTAAAGAAAAGTTGCAGTTTGTGTAAATTCAGGTTTAATAGTTGGGACGTCAATATTGGAGTGAGGACTGCAACTGGATCCAGACAGGCTTCATGGTGTCCGAAGTTTCCCAAGGCCTGAAACCAAAGGTCAGCTCCAAGGTTTTGTTGGGCTAACTGCCTGTTGCCAAAATTGGGTTCCAAAATCTCCCTCTGATGAAAAACCTCTATATGCTTTACTAAAAATTATAGTCCTGATCAAATTATATGGGAAGAATAGGACAACATAACCTTTAAAGTCTTAAAGGAGAGTTTAATAAACCCACCTGTTTTTGGGCATGTCAATTGTTAAAAATTATATATATATATATATATATATATATATATATATATATATAGAGAGAGAGAGAGAGAGAGAGAGAGAGAGAGAGAGAGAGAGAGAGAGAGAAAGGAAGGGATGCCCTTAGGTTACTCACCCAAAAACATGAGGACCACTATAGGCCCTTAGGGTATTCCAGTCAGCAGCTGGACCCTGTGGCACAGGGATACTGCCCTTGCCATCGACCCATTACTATCACTGCCCTTTTGTTGAGGACATGAAGGAAATTGTAGGATCTCCTTTAACCATCATGGCACCCCGTGCAGTAGAAGCCCTCCTGAATTCTCATCACACCGGGGTCTCCAGTTAGTTGCCTGGCTTTCTATAAAGTCCTTTTGTAACGTACCCCTCACATCACTCTTTCATGTTTAATAACCTTATTCCAGCTGCTCGTTTTCCCTGTGATGCTGACAAAGCCCCTCGTGACTGCTTGAATATGGAGGGATCACTCCAGACCCCCTGTGAGGATCTGCAAGAGACTCCTCTGGGTAGAGCTCATGGTTTGCAGGTGGCCCATATTTTACAAATAAAATAGAAGGTCCTCCGCTGGTCATTCTGCTGCAACCCCTTTTGAAGTCATCAAGGCAGCATCTTTGCCTTTGGCTCCTTCAGCCCGGCAGGCTGAATTACATGCTCTCACTCGGGCTTGTAGTCAGCCAAGGACAAAACGACCATCATTCATAATGACAGTAGAGATGCCTTCGCAATAGCTCATGACTTTGGAATGTTATGGAAACAACGTGGCTTTCTTACATCCAGTGGAAATAAAATGTAATGTCCTGTACATTCAAGAATCACTGCATGCTATACTTGTACCTGCTGCTGTAGCTATTATTAAGACCTCAGGGCATTCTAATCATGACTCTCTGGAAGAGAAAGAAAATCGCTGTGATGACATTCCTGCAAGGAATGCTGCCCTTTAAGGAACCGGCAGCAGTCAAACCTCTTTGCTCTTCCTCCAAGGGGATATTTCCAGCTGATAACTTAGAACAGGGGTGAGGAACCTTTTACTGCCAAGGTCCATTTGGATATTTATAGCATCATTCTCGGGCCATACAAAATTATCAACTTAAAAATTAGCCTGTGTATTTGTTCAAACATTTAATTCACCCCTAATGCCTTGGCATGGTCACACCAAATGATTTTGAGGGTATTAAGTGGCCTGAGAGCTGGACTTTCCCCACCCTTGACTTAGAAAGACTAGTCAAAGCAGCCCAGCAATTGGATTCAGAAAAAGAAAAGTAAAATTGGAAATCCAACCATTTTTTAATATATATATTTTATTGATTTTTTTACAGAGAGGAAGGGAGAGGGAAAGAGAGTTAGAAACATCAATGAAAGAGAAACATCAATCAACTGCCTTTTGCACACCTCCTACTGGGGATGTGCCCACAACCAAGGTACATGCCCTTGACCAGAATCGAACCTGGGACCTTTCAGTCTGCAGCCGACACTGAGCCAAACTGGTTAGCGCTCCAACAATTGTTGGTTTGATAAACAGAGCAAGGCCAAATAACAACCCAGTCCTACCTGAAACTCAAGCGCCCACACCTAACTATTCTCCATGCATTAAACCACTGGTAAAAATGATAGCATTCATGAATCAATATTGGTGGAGAAATGCTAATAAGACCATACAAAGCACCTACCTCACTTGTCCCACGTGTCCACAGTACAACCCACGGAAGTCCATTTTCATGTCTCTCTGACATTTCAAATTGCCTCATGTGCTACTCAAGGTTTGATAAATAGATTTCACACAGCTCCCCCTGTCTCAGGGAAATTAATATGTTTTAGTAAGGATCAGTATGTTCTCTCTCTGGACTGAAGATGAAGTCCAGTTAGCCCCTCTAGAACTCCACAGCGATGGAGCAACCCATTTTACTGATCAGTTTTGACAAGTCTGTGATGTTTGTCAAGACTGTTGTAACCAGCCCTAACCTGTTTGGCTCAGTGGATAGAGCGTCGGCCTGCGGACTGAAAGGTTCCAGGTTCCATTCTGGTCAAGGGCATGTACCTTGGTTGCAGACACATCCCCAGTAGGAGGTGTGCAGGAGGCAGCTGATCAATGTTTCTCTCTCATCAATGCTTCTAACTCTCTATCCCTCTTCCTTCTTCTCTGTAAAAATATCAATAAAATATATATATATATATATATATATATATATATATATTAAACTGTTGAACCAAATATTATATTTTTACTGCACTTATGACCCTCAATTCTCAGGTTTAGTCAAAGGCACTAACTCCATTATTAAGATTCAATTGGCAAAATGTATAAGACCATTCAAAGAGCATTGCCATTAAGTCCTTTTAAAGCTCAGGTTCACCTCTTTTGAGTGAAAGACACACCAAAATATAATAATAACTAGAGGCCCAGTGCATGAAATTTGTGCACGGCAGGGGGGCGGGCGCGAGTCCCTCAGCCAGACCTGTGCCCTCTCACAGTCTGAGAGCCCTCCGGGATGTTGGACTGATGTCTTAGCCTAAGCCGGCAGTCAGACATACTTAGCACTGCCATGGTGGCGGGAGAAGCCTGCGCTCCTGCTGTGGAAGCACACTGGCCACCTGGGGTCAGCTCCTGCATTGAGTGTCTGCCCCCTGGTGGTCAGTGCATGTCATAGCAACCAGTCATTCTGCTGTTCGGTCATTTTGCATATTAGCCTTTTATTATATAGGATTATATAGGATTCCCTCCAGTTTTGCTGGAAGGGCCCCTATCAAGTATTGTTGACTAATCCCTGTGCTGCTAAACTCCAGGGAGTAAACTCTTGGATACATGTGTTGCATTTAAAGAAGGCACCTCCCTCGTCGATGTGGCTCAGTGACTGGAGAATCGGCTCACATACTGAAGAGTCACTGGTTTGATTCTGGATCAAGGGCTGGTTTGCAGGTTCAATCCTGACCCTGGTTAGGGTACGTTCAGGGGAGAGACAACCAATAAATGTCTCTCTCTCTCCACCTTCCCTCCTCCCTCCCGCTCCACCCCTCCAGCTCTTCCACTCTCTCTAAAAAGTAATGGGAAAAATATCCTCAAGTGAAGATTAACAAAGAGGGAGGGAAGAAGGGAGGGAGGACCAAACCTCATTGGAACTGAGCACAGACTTGTGACCTGAAGTTAAAGCTATCAAAAATTGACGCAGACGGTCTCTGAAGGAAACAACTTTCCCAAACCGACTGTACCAGGTCTGTGCAAATCTCTTCCTTATTTCTTATTCTATTTCTCTCTCTTTCTTAGAAGGAAAACACCCTTGATTACATTTTCCAAGCTACTGTGAAAGGGAAAACTTTCTGGTTACTGGATCTGGCGTTAAGACAATAATGACCTTTATTTCACCACCTACAGGTTTGAACTCCTAGTTTGGAATCACCATTTAGAATGTGTATCATGTTGTTTTAAATTCTGTGTTGTATTCTTCTGTTATTAAGTTCTTCGCCCGTTGCACATTATCAATGAATACAAGCTGTTTTCTATTCCTGCACCTTCCCCGACGTGAGACACGACACCCAGAAGACTTCTGGACGTGGAGGGACAAAGGCTGTTGAAATCAGAAAACCTGGCTGTTGATCAGCAATACTTTCAGAGAAAGATCTTGATCAGAAAGGAGAAAATCACGAGAGAGAGAGCCTCACCTGGCCAGAAATCAGGAGCGGCTGTGGGGAGCGCTGTCACACTTATGTCGTGGTGAGAGCCCTACAGGAAGAACCCTACCTTTCCAGCGGTGCTCTGCGGTTCTAACAGCCCCTCAGCTCCCTCTTCCCCTCTATAAAGTACTTCCTCCTCCTTTGTACACGTGGCTCCTCATGTCTGCGTGTGCCAGGCTGCAGTGCCTTCTTTTTCCTGAATAAATAGTTTTGGTGACGGAATACCGAGTCGCATTTTATCTCACGGTGAACATCACCTTCTCAGGAGCCCTGCTTTAACCCCCCAGTAGAAATGTCAGCACTCTGTTTCCTATTTCCCTGTCCTGTTTAACTTCTCGTCTTTGTGCTTATTCCCTGCTAATGTATTATACATTTTGCATTTTATTTGCTTTTTGTCTCATCAATAGGATGTAAGCTCCACCAAAGCAGTGATTGTGTCCGTTTGTTCCCTTCTGCCTGCAGTACCAGGTACACAGGAAGTGCTCACTTGTTAAATTAAGGAATTTCTAAAAGACTTAAAGCAAACAAGAGTCCACTTGAGAGAAATTAAATGGGCTCAGAAACCTGCCCCAAACCGGTAAAGGAGTCTGTCACTGGAGAAATTAAAAGAGTGATTTTCCCAAAAGACTCAGAACACCCCCAAGCTAGTTCCCAGGGACTGCCTTTGTACAGGGTGACTCCTACTTGATTCATTCTCTGCTTCCCTCCAGCGATGACCTTGGCCTGGTTAATCCCGTTCATCCTTCAGAAATCACCTCATACTTAACTTTCTTGGGGACATAGTCTCATACCAACCTTATCTCCCACCTCCAGACCAGACAGATCGGGTCTTACATGAGTCTCCTTCATGCAGAGTGCCTGAAATACAGTAGGGACTCCGTAAACTTGTGTTGAGTAAGTAAATGAATGAGTGAGTGGGTTGTGTTGAGTAAGTAGATGAAGGTCCACCTGAGCATCTAGAAAGGGCATTTACCCAGGCCATATATATAGAAAGAAAGACTCTCCCCTACAGGGAGGAGATCCGTCACTGGAATTATTTGCCAGGAAGAAGAGAAAGAAGACAGTGGTGCTCTTCAAAACAGAGATAGCAAAAAAGAAATATTTTTCTTCGGTAGTGAAAACCGCTAACATACTTTCCCTCCAAATTAATTCCTTCCCCACTTCTATATCAACATGCACAGAAAAGAGCCTTAAAGTCCCAGGCAAGAATGCTAAATGAATTCACCATCACCAAACTGTATTACAAGAATAAAGGGACTTCTTAAAGAAGGAGAACGAGGAGAAGGAGAATAAATTAAAAATACAAATAATAAAATGGTAATAACTACATAGCTATCAATAATTACTATAAATATAAATAAATTAAAATCTCCAATCAAAAGACAAGGTGGCTAAATGGATAAGAAACACAGCCATACTTATGCTGCCTATAAGATTGAAAGACACACACACAGATGCAAGTAAAGGAATGGAAAAAGATATTTCATGCAAATGGAAACCAAAGAGAAGCTGGGGTAGCAATACTTATATCAGACAAAATAGACTTTAAAATAAAGGCAATAATGAGACAAAGAAGGACCCAGCAATTCCACCTCTGGATATTTATCTAAAGAAACCCAAAATATTAATTTGAAGACATATGCATCCCTATGTTCATTGCAGCATTATTCACAACAGCCAAGATATGTAAGCAACTAAGTGACAATTGATAGATGAGTGGATAAAGAATATACAGTACATATATATGATGGAATATTACTCAGCCATAACAAAGAATGAAATCTTGCCATTTGGGATATCATAAATGTACCTAGAGGGTATTATGCTGAGTGAAATAAGTCAGACAAGAAAACACAAATACCATTTGGTTTTACTTATATGTGGAATCTAAAACAAACTAACAAACAAAACAGAAGTAGACTTATACAGAAAACTTTTTTCCAGATGGGAGAGGGGTTGGGGAATAGGTGAAAAGAGATAAAAGATTAAGATGTGCAAATTGACCATTATAAAAAGAGTCATGGAGATGTAACGTACAGCATTGGGAATACAGTCGGTAATATTGAAATGACTATGCATGGTGTCAAGTGGGTGCTAGATTTATTGGGGTGATCACTTTGTAAGTTACATAAATGTCTGATCACTATGTTGTACACCTGAAACTAACACAATATTGAATGTCCGCTGCAATTGAAAAGAAAAAGAAAAATGTTTAAAAGAAAGAAAGGGGCCGAAACTGGTTTGGCTCAGTGGATAGAGCATGGGCCTGTGGACTGAAAGGTCCCAGGTTTGATTCCAGTTAAGGGCATGTACCTTGGTTGCGGGCACATCCCCAGTAGGGGGTGTGCAAGAGGCAGCTGATCAATGGATCAATGTTTCTCTCTCATCGATGTTTCTAGATTTCTACCCCTCTCTCTACCTCTCTGTAAAAATTCAATAAAATATATATTTAAAAAAGAAAAGAAGAAAGGGGCCTTGCCATTAGATTTCTTGAATTTTACCATGATGCTTCTAACTCTGGACTCTTGTCTCTTATTTTGCTTTATGCTTGGTGTATCCATTTAATCTGAAAACACAAATCTTTCTTCAGTTCAAGGAAATTTTCTTCTATCAATTCTTCCTTTGCCCCTAGATATCTGCATAGATTGCTCACTCGCTTAATCAGACCTTTCTGCTCAAATGCCACCTTACCATTGATGCCTTTCTAGACCACCCCATCTAAAATGGCAATCCCGCTGCCCTGTTCCCTGGCCTTGGGTTATTTTACTTCATGCTCCTGATTTTATATTCTTCACCTGTTTGCTTATCACCTGTGTCTCCTATTAGCTGACAAGCTCCTTAAGAAGGTGGACTTGGACTTTTTTTCACTGTGATATCCCGGGATCTAGAACACTCCAGAAATATCTGTCGAGTAAGAAGATTGTTTCTGCACTCTTCTTCTGAACCTTTTAATAGGTTCATAGCGAGTCTTTAAAGAACTTTCTGGAGCCCTGACTGGTGTTGGTTGGGCATCATCCCATGCACCAAAAGGTTATCAGTTCAATTTCTGGTCAGGACACATTCCCGGGTTGTGGGCTCGATCCCCAGTGGGAGCCTTGAAAGAGGCAGCCCCATCTTGTTTCACTCTCACATCGGTGTTTCTCTCTCTTGACTCCTCTCGTTTCCTCTCTCTAAAGTTCAATAAAATATATATATATATATATATATATATATATATATATATATATATATATATATATTTTTTTTTTAAAGAAGAAGTACCTGGGGAGCTGGCATTGTCCCACAGCCCTGTAGTCAGTAATCTTGGCCTCAGTGTATTTCATCCCATGCTGCCCCCTCTACACTGCCCCCCATAACCTCAAACCTTTCCTTCAACTCACACCTGCCCAAGTTCTGAGCCCAGCATGCCCGCAGGGTCCCATTCAGTGGCTCAGAGACAGGCACAAAGGGACCGCCTGAGGCCATCAAGCACTCTGACCTACTGCAGTAACTGCCTTCTCCCCTTCTCAGGTGGGAAGCAACAAATCCTCCCACTCTCAGTCCCTGTGTCCCTGGGGCTCAGCTGGCCAGAGCCCATCTCTAAAGGGCTAGGATACTAAGAAGACCGCCTCTGTTGTGGGTTCGGGGAGTAGTTTTGAGGTATGAGCTAGGAGTGGGCAGGCACAAAGAGAAGGTGTGAGGTGGCTGGGTAAAAAGCACACTGCAGCAGGGTCCATGCATGGTTTTCTCTCTGGCATCTGCAAACGTTTCCAGATCGGGGGCTGCCTGATTCTCAGCCCCATGAGGCTGCCTCTATGGCAGCCTGGACTCTAGTCCTGGGTCCTTCTAGCCAGCAGAGTGGCATTGGGCAAGTCAGTCTGCCTGCCAGAGCCTCAGTTTCCTCATCTATAAGACGAGTGCCAAGACCCCTGTCCTACTTGCCCCCCAGGGTTGTTAGAGGATCAAATAAAGTAATGGATGGGAGCAGGCGCTGGAAGGTACAGGGACTGGAGAAAGGCTGTTATCACACCTTCCAGTATTTATCCAGCGCTCCTTGACCCCCACCCTGCCCTGGCCCTGTGCTGGGCAATGCTGCGGAAAAGGGACCCTGGCACACAGCCCAGGGGCAGCAGAATGAGGGCAGTGCAGGGGGCGAATAACAGGTCAAACGGGGCAGTGTGTGGGAAAATGCCAGAAGCCCAGGAAACTGTAACTACTTTGTTCTCCATGGGACCAAGGGTACCTCTGTCACCTATAGGTTCAGGCCCAAGCCTCTCGGCGTGACAGCGAGGTCATTCATTTGCATAATTCTTTTACAAATAGCACCTGTGCATTGTTGTCAAGTTCAAACACTACAGAAAGACATGAAATGAAGAGTCCTTCAACTCCAGCCCCACTCTGCACTTCTGGTTTGTTTTTCCCATTACCATGGGCAGTCTGGGCTCTGGGGCTCCCCATGAACCTGACCTAGGGGTCACCAGGCTGCACTGCAGTCCAAGGCTCTTCCCCCGGGCCTCCCTCCTCCCCTTCTGCTTTCCCAGGTGTCAGCAGAGAACTGGACCCCTGCTGCTTTGTTGCTCCTGCTCCCACTTCCTGCCCTCATCCTCCATGGGCCTTGCCCTCTAAGCCTCTTATATGTCTTATTCCATCCAATTCTCTGAAGTCAAGAACTGGCGCAGGTTGTTCAGAGAGCAAATGAATGAACACACACAGAGCCTTAGAAAAGTGCCAGGAACGGAGTGGGCATCTCCAACTCCCAGCGCATGGGGCTCCCTCCTTGGGGCTCTCCTCAGACACGCCGGCCACTGTCCTGGGGTCCTCCTCGGTGTCCTCTCAGGAACCTGGCTTCTCGGGTTTCCTGAGGGCGCAGTACTCTCTGTTCACAGAGCCCTGCACCCCTGCTGCCGTTGTTGGGAACAGCCTCACCGTTTCCTCCCCATCAGGGCCTACTCGTTCTCTACATCACATGTCACTTCCTCAGGGAAGCCTTCCTGGACTCCTTTGTATGCTCTCTCAACACCATGAGCCTCTCCTCCAAAGCATTGGAAGGTTACCCATTTGTGAGCGTGTTCAGTCCATGCCTGCTTGTCTTTATGAGGCACAGACTGCCGGTCTTCAGAGTTCTTCCTCCCCCTCCCAGAACTCCGTTTTCTGCAGAGCACAGAGGCTCTGGAGAGAGCTTCCATTCTCTTGCAGCTGGCCAGGGGATGTGTGCAGAGTGCTGGCTATCGCACCGAGTCCCA